GTGTGTGTGTGTGTGTGTGTGTGAGAGAGAGAGAGAGAGAGAGAGAGAGAGAGAGAGAGAGAGAGAGAGAGAGAGAGAGAGAGAGAGAGAGGCGCTGACCTCCAACAAAAGAAGAAGTAATTTTATCGAAATACAAGAGTTTTTTCTTTTCGAAATCCGAATAGAAAGGGTACATGTTGTATTCGAATACAACGGGTACGTTTTCTATTCGAGGAACTCTGCTATTCGAGAAAAGTGGAACCTGCACCTTTTCAATTTCGAAAAAGGACTGCAGCCTCCTCGGCCTCCTGCGCGCAGCTACCGGTCCTACGTGGTCCTGGGCCAAAACCCGTGCAGTCCTACGGGCAGCTACCGGTCCTGCAGTTTCAAATAAGATGCCACCACCCCCTAAACTGCCATGCTTTGTTTTTCAAGCCTTCCAACAACCTTATAACGAACGACGACGAAAAATGTTCTCAGGGGCATAAAACGCACCCCTGACGGGCTGCGAACAAACAACCCGCAAATATATATATAGATATGGGACCATTACCCAGTTTCGGTGCAGGCGATGGGGTATGCCCAGTTGCAGAATTAGGCCAACTCATGACGGCTGCACTGGCATTTCTCAACCCTGGGAAAAGAAAAATCTCCACAAGGCCACAAAGCCAAACAAACCCAAGGAAACCAACCTACTAAGTAGTACTCACCAGAAGAAGGAACAAAGGTAACAGGATCCCACTTGGGCTTCAAAACCAAACAAACCTACAAGGCTACAAGTTCTACAACATTTTTATTATTATTATTTTTTTTTTAGACAAGGTACTTGTCATTAGCAGATCAATGAAAAGAGAGGCCGGGAATCCTCTACAAACAACCCGGGGATACAACATTATATAGAACTACTAACACTATTTATTACCCACCAACAATATTTATTTATTTAAGCACCAAGTTTCTCTCAACCAAAGCTTCCCACTCCCACTGTTTCCCGATTTGACAACTTTCCTCCGCCAGTCTGCATGAATCACTCTTCTCTCTCCCCAAGACATTGAGATGAGGGAGGCTGAAGTGGACAAGGAGAAGGAGGAAGACACACATGTCCTGGTGGAGGACAAACTGACAAAAGTGGCCCACTGGCTCTACCAGAATTTGCACAACAGGTATCCGGGACATGGTGATGAATTTTGGGACTGTACATACAGAGAGCTGATCCCCCTATTGGAGTGCAGTGCCACGCTCAAAAGGGCCCTAGAACACGGCCTGCCGGAAACTCCAATTGGACCAATATATGTCATCGCTTGCTGACAATAGTGCTGGCTCACTTCCAACCTCAGACTTCAGAGCAATCTAGACCGGGGCAAGGGGAGGCCAGTGAACCAAAGGCAGCCCGGGGAATTACCAGCTGGCTCGAAGGAGAGTACATAGGGGGGCCAGGGGGGCCAGGGGCCTGAAGTAACCAAAGCCGTAGAGGGGGCAAATGGGACAGGTGAAGCCGAAAACGAGAGACAACAAGGAGTGGTTGAACCCTTAACAGAACCCCCAGACCCTCCAGGAGGGGAGTTGGTTAGCAAAAGACAAAAAATGTGCCACCTGTTGGAAAAAGGTTTTGCTCCACCACCCCTCCCTCGAGGTAAGATCTTGGTGGTAACCGTCCGGAAAAGGAAGGAAAATGGGAGGTAGGCCTGACAGAACCCCCCCATGCTAGACACGGGGAAACCACCCTTCCGGGATGGTCTTCGGTGCTCCCCCTCTGGTCCCCATTAGGGGAAGGATTGTTCAAACAGGACCTGCAGTCCTATGTGCAAAAAAACCTCCAAACAGGTGCAGTGACCACGAGAGTGGCATCATATGGACAAACCAATATCGCAGACAAAACCGTATACATCCTCTGCGACCCGAACAAGGTGGGTCTAAAATGGGTCACAAGGAACTCGCTGCTTGATTCGCAGCTTCTTAAAATCAGACCAAGTAATACCTGGTCAGGGGAGGAAGTGCGGGATATCTTCATCAGACTTCTCATAGAGGGTCCTCTGTCAGGGTCAGAGGAATGGAGCACCATAGACTGGGCACGTCTCTTAAAAAAAAACAAAAAACAAGGGGGGAAGTAAATGGACTATATCAGAGTCTTGTATGGTAGGGATAAAAACTGGGCTAAAGGGAAGAGAGAGGCCGATCTAGACCTACGGTCCTTGAATGTAAATGGCCTTGCATCAGCCTCTCCATCAAAGAAGCAAGCCATCTGGGAGCAGATTGGGGTTTGGCGGGCAGAGACTGGCCGAACGCAGTTTGTGTCCAAGAGACCCACCTGATGGACTCAACGGAACATCATCGAGTGCACAAAGAAATCTGGCCCTACCGGGCTTTTTGAGCCCACGCTCCGCGGCCCAGGAGTGTTGGAGTGGCCATTTGGCTACCCCCGGACTCATGCATTGACCCGCTTAACTGGGCAGTAGACCAAGAGGAAGGAAGATGGGTATGTGTTCTGGCAATGTTAGAATTGAAGGTGGTTGCTATCTTTTGTATTTATGCCCCGAATCAGGCGGGAGCCAGAGCATTCTTTTCATAATCCATTAAGGAGCGTGCCCCGCAGGGCATCCCGATCATACTGGCAGGAGATGTTAATGCAGCCCCGGACCAATGGTTGGACAGATGGAAAATTTTGTCCCCATGCCCAGTAGATATCGAGATGGATGAACTTTCTATAACTGACCTTTGTTCATCATTGGGAGTGTATGACACCTATCGAAGATCTCACCCAACAAAACACACTTTCTTCTGCTTCAGGAAAAACGGATCACAAAGGACCTCTAGATCACGCATAGACTTGATCCTCGCCTCAGAAGATCTAGAAGGGGCTCTACAGATCGCCGAGATCTTTCCACAGAGCCCGTACCCCGGGTTGGACCATGCAATGTGTGTCGCAATCTTTTCATTTAGAAAACGTCCTGATCAAGGACCTGGCTACTATAAACTAAATGCATCGTTATTGTTATTATCAACATTCCAAACTCATATCAAAGAAAATTGGGCACACTGGCAAACACATCGGCAGACTCTCTGTGATGACATTCTATGGTTTAACAATGGACTGTTTTTTTTGGGCAGGAAATGTGGCGAATTTTCAAAAGCTCTAGCGGCCAAACGACATTTTGACGAAATGACACTACAATATCAGTTAAACCAGTTGAAGCAACAGGAAGAAAATGCAAATCTGAAATCAGAGGAATTTTCCAGTGCAATTCAGTGAATAGAAACTCGATTAGTAGCTTGCATGGAACACCGGTGGCAAGGTGTCCAGGTTAGGGGAAAGATACGAAAACATAAAACGAAAGGATCAATGGACTCCCGGTTCTTTGCCATGGCAAGGGCAAGAACAGGGAGAACCATTATTGAGGCCTTGAAAGACCCAACTCAGGAAAGGGCCTTGCCGGCATCCACCACCCCACAATGCGTTCACACTGCCCGAGGCTTCTTTCAAGAGCTTTTTAAATCAGAATGTAAAAATCAACCGAAAGAACAAAGGGGGGAAAAAAAGGATGATTGTCTCATACCCTTACAGAATAGCCTTTCAGAAGAGCAAAAAGGAATGTTAGAGAAACCCCTTGAGAAGTCTGAGATACGGACAACCCTCATGCAAATGGAGGAGGAAAAGACCCCTGACATTGATGGGCTTCTTAAGGAATTTTGAGAATCTATGTGGAGCTCCTTGTCACAAGACCTGATGGGCTACTATCATGCGGGCTGGGAGTTGGGACAGATGGGGGAAGTGGTGGGGCAAGGGGTGCTATTTCTACCATACAAGAAAGGTGACAAAATGAATATTTGAAACTACCGGCCTATTACCTTGCTGACAGTGGTATACAAAATGGCGGTGAAAGCCTTGGCAAACCGAATGATTCTGGTAATGGAGGATACCATCCACCCTGCACAAACTGGTTTTATCAAAAGCAGAAAAATTCAAGATAATATCCTCCTAATAAACGAGGTACGAAAATTGCCACGCCAATCTAAACACAATGCGACAATAATTTTTATTGACTTCGAAAAAACATACGACCACGTCGACTGGTTCTTCCTTGGCAAATGTTTGGAGAAACTAAATTTCGGTCCATGCTTCAGGAGGTGGGTGGAGATTCTGTACCACAGTGCCACAACGAGGGTGCAGGTAAATGGGAGGCTGCCCCCCCCCATTTACCTGGAACGCTCGGTACGCCAAGG